AAGGAAGGAAGGAAGGAAGGAAGGAAGGAAGGAAGGAAGGAAGGAAGGAAGGAAGGAAGGAAGGAAGGAAGGAGGGAAGGAAAAAAAGAAAGAATTAAAGAATCTTTATTACACATTCAACTTTGAGAAGAAAACAGAACTGTGGTTACTAGAGGTAGGAAAGGGGAAGGGGGAGCAAAGTTAGGGAGAAATTGGGTAGGGAACACAAAGAATAACTACAATTTGTTTTAGGGAGCAATTGGTTATTGGACACAAAGAATGACTATACTTTGCAATGATGAAAATCCTAATTATCCTGATTTGATCATCATATATTGTACTGAAATACAGATAGTGAAAATTTTATGCCACAAATATGTATAGTCAATTATGTTGCTATAAAAAAGTTGTATAATTAAAAAAGAAAAATAACTCAATACAAAAAAGAATCCAATTAAAAATGGAGAAAAACCCTGAGGAGACATTTCTCAAAATAAAACAAACAAATGGCCAATTGGAATAAAAAAAAAAAAAAAAAAAAAAAACATTACTTATTATCAGGGAAATATAAATCAAAACCACACTAAAATATTATTATCAATAAGACAAAAAATAGCAAATGTTGGCGTGGATGTGGAGAAAGGGGAACTCAAGTGACTAACTATTTCTGCGTAACTATAAGAAATTGTCGATTAGCAAATGTTGGCGTGGATGTGGAGAAAGGGGAACTCAAGTGACTAACTATTTCTGCGTAACTATAAGAAATTGTCGATTATTTTCTTTTTATAAATAGTCAGTCTAACTGGGTGAAGTGGTATCTCACTGTACTTTTAATTTGCATTTCCCTGAGTATTATTTTGAAATATGCAATATAATACTCTTAGTTAACGATAATATATTGTATATTTCAAATTGGCTAGGAGAGAAGATTTTAAATACTTTCACCACAAAGAAATGATAAATGTTTGAGGTGTTGAATATGCTAATTACATTGATTTGATCATTACGCAATATATATGTTTCTAAACATACCACAATGTGCCTTTGATAAATGTCAGGAGAAAGATGTGGTCACCCCAAGCAAATAAGATGAAATCAGCTAAGTTTTAAAGAATTATTAAACCAAATTTGGCCTATTAGGAAAAGCACACAGCTCTAGAATGAAATGGTTTGTACTTACTATCGAGGTCTTTCTGCAGGCCCCTAACAAGTGCTTATGAGAGTGATTAATAAAACAACTTGTTGAGATAAAACTGGTCTCCAAATAGTCAGTGGACACAATGAATGCCTACATTTTTTAATGAAGAATATGATAATTACCTTGATTTGACTACAACATTTTGTACACATGTATTGATAGTCAACTCTGTACCCCA